GGGGGGCGGGCGGTAGCAGGGAGCCCTCCCGGGGGCGGCTGAACCCCTGGGAAAGCTTGGCTTCAGGGCCATCCGGGGTAACTGAGGCGCCTGTGTGTAACTTGCGGGTTTTCAGGCTACTTTATCATTACAAAAGCTCTACCTGCCCAATAAAGAAAATCGGTAAAATCAGGAGACAGAGCGCCCTCTGCTCGGCACCCATTTACGCTCTTCTGTTATTATTTTTGTTTCTTTTTTAAATTTATTTAAAATAGACAGATGTCCCTTTTCCTCCCCAGTGCCCCGCTCCAGCCGCTGTCCCCTCCCCAGGCCCCCTCACTGCCCGGTCCTTGGGCGGCGCACGTGTCCTGCCAGTTCCTTGGCTGCTCTCCCCTCCGCCCACCGCCTCGCCCTCCCGCCGACATCCCCCGTCTGACCTGGAGACTGCCTCGCCGGGTGAATGAAACAGGCCAGGCAGGGAAAGGCAGACATCACAGGATCTCGCTCACATGTGGAATCTAAAGAACTAAGTAAACTGACCAACAGAATAGATCCAATGACATGTTTCTTTTTTTAACATAGAAATAATCATATTCTGTACTCGACTCTGATGCTGCTTTTTTCCACTTAAAATTATGTTATAAACTGAGTTATTTCAGCCTTAAACACGTACACACCAGACTATGAACCTGTTACTCAGAACTGCACGTGCCAGCGTGTGCCCAGCCAGTCCAGGCCGGGTCAGGAGCCGAGGCCAGCGTGTGCCCAGCCAGTCCAGGCCGGGTCAGGAGCCGAGGCCAGCGTGTGCCCAGCCAGTCCAGGCCGGGTCAGGAGCCGAGGCCAGCGTGTGCCCAGCCAGTCCAGGCCGGGTCAGGAGCCGAGGCCAGCGTGTGCCCAGCCAGTCCAGGCCGGGTCAGGAGCCGAGGCCAGCGTGTGCCCAGCCAGTCCAGGCCGGGTCAGGAGCCGAGGCCAGCGTGTGCCCAGCCAGTCCAGGCCGGGTCAGGAGCCGAGGCCAGCGTGTGCCCAGCCAGTCCAGGCCGGGTCAGGAGCCGAGGCCAGCGTGTGCCCAGCCAGTCCAGGCCGGGTCAGGAGCCGAGGCCAGCGTGTGCCCAGCCAGTCCAGGCCGGGTCAGGAGCCGAGGCCAGCGTGTGCCCAGCCAGTCCAGGCCGGGTCAGGAGCCGAGGCCAGCGTGTGCCCAGCCAGTCCAGGCCGGGTCAGGAGCGGAGGCCAGCGTGTGCCCAGCCAGTCCAGGCCGGGTCAGGAGCGGAGGCCAGTGTGTGCCCAGCCAGTCCAGGGCGGGTCAGGAGCCGAGGCCTGCTGCCTGTTCCCCGGGGCCCTCCTGCCAACCAGCTTTGGGCAGCAGCAGGGGCACAAACGGAGAGAGAGAGCCATTTATGGGCGCAGTGTGGTGAGGACGGGCGGGGAGGGTGTGGAGGAGGGCACCGATAAACGGCATGGGGAAAGTTCAATTTAATTTAAAAAAAGAAAAAATATATTGAGTTAAAAAAAATAGAGAGATTTATATTTTAAATACTTTGGCTGACTCAGGAGCCAGCTTTTGCCAGCCAAAATATATAGCCAGCTATGCCAAGATGGAAATTCAAAGTTGAATAAATTCAGGATTCCTCTTATGTGCAGTGGATGCATATCCTGAAGGAGGAAAGGAGCTGTGACCCTAAGGTAGTTGACCTAATTTTTTTTTTTAACAAACATATTGGAAAATAAACATCCAAGTGGGCCTCAGCCCCCTCACAGACTACACGTTAATTTCAGAGATACTGTCATTACTCAGGTCTTTGGAATTCTATGGAATTCTTTTGAAATTGGGCTTTTCAGCAGCCTGAGA